AGTACTTTGATGTGAAACTCGTTGTGAAATTCGCATTAGTTAGAAATTTCAAATGCAACGCTGTGTAGCAACACTTTCGTGGCTCGAGGCCATCGATTCAATCGACATATCCCGGTTTATAAGCAGCAGTCCATTGCAAGATTTGGCATCATGTTGCGACAGGAGTCATGATCTTCCCAGGCGGAGAAGCAGAAGTTGGTGTAGCGAGCGGTCGCATAATAAGTGTTGTCGGTACAACTCGATTTTGCAGACGATTATTTGCACAACAACAAAATATCGCAGTCCTTAAAAATGAATTGAATATATTACGGGAAAAAAGATTGAACAAAAGTAGAAATAGTAACCTGTAGGCAGGTATAAGCAGGAACTGCGCTAAAAGAATGCAAGAGGGCAATAATGTGATTGATATGGTGGAAAGATATGGATCGGGACTCCGCTTTCCAACTAAAACAAGTTCAAGCCTTTAGAAATGATATTTATTTGCTGAAATAATGAGAAGTAAAAATTACCGTAATCAATCAGAGCAAAGAGTCCGGCAGCGATCATCAGAGGGATAGTCCAGAACATTCTCGCAAGGGAATTAAACACTACTGGATCTCTAGACTCCACAATAACTCTTTTTCCGCAGTTACAAGCTTCCGCCATACCAGTCATGAGTATCTTAATGCAAAATTTTCAAGAAAAAATGAATAAGCGTTTGTTATGAGACTTTAGATGTAATGCCTAGCAGTGCAAAATTCATCCTTACCATCATTACAAGAATGACCATAAATGACCCTGCTCCAACAAGCACTATCAAAAACACCAATGGAGAAATCGTAGAATACTTGAAATCACTAAATTGTGGTGGAAATACATCCATAATGGACAGGGCACACAAGATAATAAGAAGATTAATGTGAAGTATACTGAAATGTAATTTTTGAAAGATCAAAACTATTTGCTGATTTTGGAAAACATTTTTACCTCATAAAAGTAGTATTCCTAGGAGATTTCTGCGTTCTAGATGTTTGGATCGCCACATAAGCGAATATTGTGGATCCAGTCATAAATGTAAAACATGTTGTTGTCTCAAAAACTATTTCAGCAATGTATAAGGCATCAACCCTTAAATGGTAATCATAGTGACATATAACACTAATATATAGTGATATATATAAGAAAGGAACTTACACTTTTCTATTAGGGAAGTCAATAGCTACAATGACAGCTGTATGAAAAGCTGTTAAACCAGTTTTAATTGTCAATGGCAATACGGTAATGGTTGTGAATATTATAGTAAATTCTCTACGCATTAGAATTGTACATAACCAAAATAAAGCTAGAAGAATCGCTTCAACAGCTAGAGTAATATTCGCAGCTGGGCGACCTAAAAATCGAGTTAAAATGATAAAAAATTGTTCTTCGCTTATTTTAAACACACCAGTGAGAAAATATCGATGGAAGTAGAATAAGTTGTCTTCTTGACGACAAATAAAAGAATAGGTACCATTGCTATCAGGTGAATATTGGCATATCATTTAACTTATCATTTTTTACATCTGTCGTCTCACAAATAAATAAATGAGTTCGCTGTTAATAGCGAAGGTAAGACATGAAGTGGATGTTTCACACTGGATGAAGGCTTAACTATAGAGATTTTTTTCAAAACTGAAGTTTTAGGCAATACAGCAATAAGAAGTTTTCACCTTAAGGCAAAAATTACGAAGTCGCTCTCAACACAATGCCTAATATATATATA